GCTTCTGAAATAAAATAGCATTTGTTGCATCTGCCCAGTGGAGTAGTGGACGAACTACATTTAAATTTGTATAGGCGCTATTTACCTACTCTGGACATGTTTCGATATTTGCTTATATCAAACATAGCTGAAGTATTAAATGGCCAATTTTCAATTAAGCGATGAGATGAATTGTAATCAGTGATCAGCATGAAAATAGGATATTTTTCACATTTTACTGCCCCTAAGTGGAATGTGGTTACCTTTTTTTGTGCTCAAATAAAGTTTCGATAAAATGGTAAAACGTTACTCATAAAAAATGTTATGACTTTTTTTGAACATCAGCCCTTGCATACACAAAGGAACAAAAGGAAAACTTTTTTCAATAGCATCAACGGTTCAATAATTATGCACAAAAAACGGACTTCGCACTGTCTCTAATTATTTATAAATAATTGTTTCTAAACAATGTTCCACTGCCGGAAATCGAGCACAAACTAGTCTCAATATTCTGACATCCTTCCGAACAACTTCCCATAATCTTTTACCATCATATTTTCAGTGCCCGAAACAGGCCTTTTAAAGTCTAATCCGACTGGACTCAAAATACGCTTCAGCCCGAGGTACAAACCAATATTTATCATGGGCCAAAATAACATGTGCCAAAAAATAACAGATACTTGGAACAGTCACACATGGAACCGGTGACTGAAAAGTACTCGTTTGCGTCATCCCTAGTTAAATCGCAAAATAAAGTCGCCTTCCTGCGGAACGTGACTTACCTGAATGCGGTCGGCCACTTCCGTCACCAGCTTCATGCATTTGTCCACCAATCGGCCGAATTCGGACATGGCCCTCAGCTGATCTTCGTTCCGCGTTCTGAGCAGCTTCAGAGGCGCAGCTAAGGGCAGCGCTGTCACACTATGAGAGTCCTTTTGGAGGGGGAGCGCGAATATGTGCTCCTCTTCAAACGTCGACAACAATCTGCAAGAAACCCAACAAAAGCCGTTGTCGTCAACATTTAAACCATTGGCTGTTGCTTCTGATGTTGCGTCTGATGCTTGATGAATGACGAGCTTTCGGGCGTTGCTGACGATATCTTACCTAAGTTCTGGCACAAAATGACTGGGACTTTTTAGGCCGCGGGGCGCAGTGCCGTGCACAAGGCGCACAGTGAGGGGCAGCCGCTTGCTGAGCAGATTGCGGGCGGTGTGCACGCCACTGATGTTGTCTTCGCGAGCCAAAGCGGAGAATTTGCCCCGCTGCTCCAGGCCCAGCAGGATCGTGTCGCCACGCGTGTCCACGCACTTCAGGTAGCGACCTGCAACAAGAATTAGCATCACCTTATCGGCATTGATCGGCTGCTGCAAGTTGCGAAATGCAGCCCGGGCTGCAGCAAAAGCCGACAATCTGGCCGACAGATCGTTAATTAATGGCAGCACGACAATATGTAGATCAACTAGCCTCGCGCTGGATCGTCTAGCTGGCCTAGATTTTGCCAACGGTACCACTTGGGTTCCATCGGTGCTAGAGGAGGTTGAGGAAACTGGACCGATTCCATACTCAACCACGAATTCTCATTTTGAAAAATTCTTATCAAACTGGTGCCATCGGAATGCTCCAACTGAAGCCACTGGGAGAAAATTAGTGAAGGAATTTCAGCAAACTGGCTCTGTTAATGAAGTGAAAACAGAAACACGCGTTCGTCCTGGTCGCTCGACTGAAAATATCGCAGCAGTAGGTGCAACTGTTGAGGATAGCCCAACCACATCAAGTCGCCAAGACCTCAGAAAACTGGTGTTTTCACAACCACTTTGCATCGAATTTCCACAAAACATTTGAAGCTTCATGCGTACAAAGTTGAATCGGCTCAAAAGCTAAAGCCAGAGCACCATCGGCAACGAAGAGCCTTTGTTGATGGGATTTTGGAACAACTACAATTGGACGGTGATTTTTCAACCAAAATCGTCTTCAGTGACGAGGCCCACTTTCATCTTGATGGCTTCGTTAATCGACAAAATTGTCGCATTTGGAGTTCGAAAATCCACGAGTGATCGCTGAAACAGATGCAACCAAAGAGTCAGTTTGGTGTGCATTGTGGGCATCATCGGCCCATTTTTCTTGGAAAATGCAGTTG